CGGCGGCGGCAGCGGCGACGAATCCAACCCGGGCGGCGCCGACGACATCTGCCGCGATTTCCTGCGCAACGTCTGCAAGCGCGGCAAGCGCTGCCGCTTCCGGCACCCCGACATCTCCGAGGTCACCAACCTGGGCGTGCGCAAGAACGAGTTCATCTTCTGCCACGACTTCCAGAACAAGGAGTGCGTGCGCCTCAACTGCCGCTTCATCCACGGCACCAAGGAGGACGAGGACTGCTACAAGAAGACGGGCGAGCTGCCGCCGCGCCTGCGGCAGAAAGTGGCCGCCGGCTTGGGGCTGTCGCCCGCMGATTTGCCCAACAGCAAGGAGGAGGTGCCCATCTGCCGCGATTTCCTCAAGGGCGACTGCCAGCGCGGCGCCAAGTGCAAGTTCCAGCACCTGCAGCGGGACTACGAGCAGGGGCTGGGCCCCGGCGGGCGGCGCTACGAGCCCTACGACGGCCTCTACGAGCCCGACGAGCCGGTGCTGAAGCGGCGGCGAGCGGCCGAGGGGCTCTACGAGAGCTACGAGTACGCCTTCGGCAGCCCGCGGGCCGTGGAGTACCGGCTGCTGGAGGAGGAGAACGCRCTGCTGCGGAAGCGCGTGGAGGACCTCAAGAAGCAGGTGAACAACCTGCTGGCCACCAACGAGGTGCTGCTGGAGCAGAACGCGCAATTCCGCAACCAGGCCAAGGTGATGACGCTCAGCTCCACGGCCACGGCCACCGAGCAGACTCTGGCACCCACGGTGGGGACGGTGACCAACTACAACCACAGCATCGCCCAGACGCACACCACGCTCAGCAGCCAGGCCCTGCAGCCCCGCCCGGTCACCCAGCAGGAGCTGGTGGCACCGGCCGGCGCTCAGGCCGCCCCTCCGGCCAACGCCGCGCCGCCCATGAACCCCGAGATCGCGCCGCTCTCGGCAGCCCTGGCGCAGACCATCGCCCAGGGCATGGCGCCGCCGCCCGTCTCCATGGCGCCCGTGGCCGTGTCGGTGGCGCCGGTGGCCGTGTCCATGGCGCAGCCGCTCGGTGGCATCACCATGAGCCACGCCACCACGCCCATGGTCACCTACCCCATCGCCTCGCAGAGCATGAGGATAACGGCCATGCCGCACTGACCGGACCGAGCCCCGGGGGGCGGCGGGATGAGAGTGGACACGGGGATGGCAACGGGGGCTGCGGGCACKGGACCCGAGCCCAGCACGGGGAGCCCTCCCGGGGGCAGATTTTGGGTGCGGGACCCTCCCGGGGGTYGTTGTGACCGCTCCTCCCGGAGCACCGTGGACAGACTGAGCACCGGGACCGAGTCCCGGGGGCACGGGGGTGRCACCGGGGCTCCCCCCTGCCCTGTAATGTTTTCTGCTATTAAAACAAAAGGAAAAAACCAAAACCAGCTCGGGCGCGGTCGTGGCTATCCCGGAACCACCGGGAAGGGTCGGGGAGCGGGGGGGACGCGCGGGACGGGGACACACGCGGGACCGTGCCGGGGGTGGGGGACACACGTGACCGCGGCCACGCCCACCTCACAGAAACCACGCCCACATCGTAAATAAGGCGTGTCAAGGGCGTGGTTTTGTGGGCGTGGCCACCGCGTGACGCTGCGGGAAACCCTGCGGTCAACGGGGGGCGTGGCCACGACTTGGCGGGCGGCCAATCAGCGACGCGTGCGGCGGGTTGGGCGCGCCCTGGGCGGTGCC